GCATCATTTGCTGGTCCCCAGGGATGTCTGACTTGCCTTGACCAGGGCCAGAGCCTTTTCTGCCCTGGCCCATGCCTGGTGGAATGAGCTCACGAGTGAGATCAGGGCCCTGCGGGATTTATTACAATTCCGCAGGACCTGCAAGACGGAGCTCTTCCACCGAGCTTTCGGTTGAGGTGACGGGTGTCGTCCCCCCCCCCTTGGGTCGGCCCCTATTTTATAGCCTGAGATCCCAAATTGTACAGATCTCTGGGAATTTTATTCCCAGTACTATCAACCACTGAGCCATCTGGCCTTTTATAAGAGTTGTATGATTTACATGTTTTAACGTGGTTTTAATTGTATCGTATTTATTTTGTTGTATTATATTTTATTGTTGGAACCCACCCTGAGCCCTTTAAGGGGAGGGTGGGATACAAATCCAAATAACAACAACAACAAGTTTTTTGCTTCTTTTACTTTACAGGGGTATGGCTTTTTGCAGTACTATGTCATTGCTTAAGGCAGAGGTGTCGAACTCATTTCTTACAAGGGCCGGATCTGACATAAATATCACTTTGTTGGGCTGGGCCATGTGTGCTATAAAATGTAACACAAGGTACCAGAGATATAAACTTTCTAAAGATGATTTCAGATGCCGAATGGCAATAGCAGGTGTGATTGGATTCGTTGTGATATGCAGAAGGTGGAGATATCAGCCTTGGTGTGATACACAGAGGCGTGGAGATATCAGCATTGGTAATAAGACAGGAACCCTAGGTCTCAATTTGGTACAGGAAGATTCAGTCCAGGAGGATGCAAAGAATAAATGGAAATAAGTCTGAAGAAGTGAGCGGTGACTCACAAAAGCACATACCCTACCACAATTTTGTTAGTCTTTAAAGGTGCTTCTAGACTCTTATTCTTTCTACCACTATTAGAAACCACAACATTCAAAAACCAGTGGGGGGACATTTTAACCTTCCAGGGTATTCACTTGCTGACCTAAGAGTAGCAGTTCTCTTACAAAGGAATTTCAAAGGGAGATCAGAAAGAGAGACTGCTGAATTGCAACTGATCACGAAGCTCAACACAGTGCAAACTCTTGGACTGAATTGAGACCTAGGTTTCTTCTGTCATTACCAATGCCTGCTATTGTCTTGTGCCATCTGAAATCACTTCACTCTCCAAGATATAAGGACAGATGGACTCACATTCCAGCTGTATCTGAAGAAGCGAGCAGTGACTCATGAAAGCTCATGCGCTGCCACAAATTTTGTTAGTCATTAAGGTGCTGCTGTATTCTTGCTCCCTTTCACTAATAAGAAATGCAAGCTGTGCTGTTAGGTCCACCCCCATCTGTTAGAAATGGAAAGGGGAAACTCACCAAGTGCCATGAATAAAATGTTTTTGGTCTAAACACAGGACTCTTTCCACTCCCCCTACCTGGAAGGAAACGTTTTCTGGCTCACACACACACACACACACACACACACACACACATGCTCCCTCTTGCTAGCTGGTTCCCTCCCTCTGTCATTCTGAAGAAAAAGTGTGCTTATACCTTGAATAAAATGTTGCCGATCTTCTAAAGTATCCTACGAGATGCCATTTCCCCCCCCCCTTTCTGTGTCTCCCTTCCCCTTCCTTTCCAGAGGAGGGTGGGGGGAGCCCTCAGCCAATAGAGGGAAGACTTTCTTTCTCTCCTCTGAAGCAGAAACTAGGGGACTGGGGGAAAGGAGCTGTGACATTACAAACAGGAAGCAGCTCAGAATCAGCTGCTCTCGAGCCACACTGCACCCCTGTGCAGGCTGCATCTGGCCCGTGGGCCGTATCTTTGACACCCTGGCTTAAGGGTTGCCTGCAAGGATAAGCAACTTGCATACAGATCACCGGAAGTAGGTTTTATATTTTTTCTGCATAGCAACAGCTTCCACTCAGGAGCACTATAATGCCAGAAGTGGTTCAAATTTAATTTAGGTGCAATTTTAAACATATTTACTAGGAAATAAATCCCACTGAACCCAGTGGGATTTACTTCTGAATAAACAAGTTTAGGATTTAGTCTTAGATCTAGATTAAACTGTGTAGATCCCCTAACACAATTTGCTAAACAATCAACAATACATTTTTTGGGGGGGGATTTTGCATATTGAGAGTTGCAAGCGATCACAGAATAAAGATACTAAAAAAAATTGTATGTGCTCTTCTGTTTGTTGGCAACTTGCATTTGGCTGCTCTTGGGGAAATGTCAGCATCACCACCACAAACTGTTTAATAAGTGTCATTTGTCACTTTCTCATGCCTTTGAAACAGCAGTGTTTCAAGACAGAGAAATATTTAAGACACACTATGAGACAAAAATTAAACACAAAGCATAGACATTAAGTAGTGTGGGGAATCAAGGGGCATGAATTCATCATTATATTTATCTTTAAGTGGAAATAATGAGCTCTCTAGAGCATGGCGGAACTCAGTGGGACCACATGGCAGATGAGTTAAACACACTCTTCTCAGGGCCGACCCGAGGTGTTTCTGCACCCTAGGCGAGGCCAGCTTGTGGCGTCCACCCCCCCCAGGTGATGCCAACCTCCTGGTGGGGCCTGGAAACCTCCCAGAAACACACCCAGGAGGGGGGGGCACCGGGCGCCACAAGCTAGCCTCGCCCCTGCCCGGGTCGGCTTCCCACTTGCCTGGCCCGCTGGGTGAGACGTGCAAGAGCAGAGCCCCTGCGCAAGCAGTCCCCAGCACATCTGCAGTCGGTGCCCGCGTCCGGCTTCTGTCTGCTCGCCGCCCGTCGGGCCGCCCTGGAAAGTTCCACCTGGCCTGTAAGCCAGAGTGGGTGGTCAGCCAGGCTGGCAGCAGACTCAACAGCGGCGCAACCCAGAGGCGGACATCCCCCCACCCTTCCCCTGGCCTTTGCCCACCGTAGCAGCACTTGCCTGGCTCCACGGCATGGCCCGGCAGCGGCAATCCTCCTCCTCACTCAGGCCTGGGGGCAGGCTGGCCTTCTGCTGGGGTGTTATGCCGGGGCTGGCCGGCCGGCCAAGGAGCTCAGAGCTCCCGCTCTGCTGTGCACATGCAGCTCTTCAGGGTGCCTCCGAGGGGCGTGGACCCGCCCGGGGAGGTATCGTGGGCATGGCGGCGGCAGCTCACTTCCGGGAAGCGGTGAAGGAAGGCGGCGGGACTGGCCTGAGCGGCGGGCCCGGAGCTCCGCACAGTCGACTGGGGGGGAACGAAGCGCCCAGCCCGCCCACCCAGAGGGTTGGGGCATGGGCATCACCCAAGCCACGTGGCTCATCCTCCTCCTCCCGAAACGAGGCCGTCGCCTCCGCACCAGCCAGGACGGACTGTGCTCCCCCCCGGAAGTCCCATGTGTCCAACAGCTGCCCCCACGTGGCGCTGGGGTCCTTCCGGCCGGAGGAGCCCTGCTCACGAGTCTTCCTCCTCCGTTCCTTCACTGCCGTTCCACCGGTCCAGTTTGGTGCCCTAAGGGCCGGCCCGTGCTCTAGGCAAATGCCTAGTTCGCCTAGCGGGTGAGCCGGCCCTCTTAACATAAGAACATCAGAGACCCCAATGTTGGATCAGGCCAAAGGCCCATCCCGTCCAACACTCTGTGTCACACAGTGGCCAGAAATACCAGTGCCATCAGGAGGTCCACCAGTGGGGCCAGGACATTAGAAGCCCTCCCACTGTTGACCCCCCCCAAGCACCAAGAAGACAGAGCATCACTCGCCCCAGAGCCCCTATCTATACCTTGTGGCTAATAGCCACTGATGGACCTCTGCTCCATATGCTTATCTAATTCCCTTTTGAAGCTGTCCATGCTTGTAGCCGCCACCACCTCCTGTGGCAGTGAATTCCATGTTTTAATCACTCTTTGGGTGAAGAAGTACTTCCTTTTATCTGTTCTAACCCGACCGCTCAGCAATTTCATGGAGTGCCCACGAGTTCTTGTATTGTGAGAAAGGGAGAAAAGTACCTCTTCTCTTCCTTAGCATTGTTAACCAGCCAACACATCATTTTCTAGTATCTGCCAGAAACATCAGTAGATTGTGATACTTTACCACAGTGATTGCTAGTATGATTGCAACGTTCATGTATTAAGGAGTAAGTGCCACTGCACTCAGTTGGGCTTACTTTTCAACAAACTGAGCTAGTACAGCAAACCTTAAGACTGCACACTTACCCCTTCCAACAATTACCTTTGAGCTAGTAACAGATCAAGAAATTTGCTCATACACAGTTAGGAACATATGACTACCTATGATGAAAACAAAACAACACTATTATCTCCAGACCTGTTCTTCTAATGAAATATATATTCATTAGAAGAAAAGAGGGATGGATAGATAGATATTCTGCAGCTCTCAACCAACATGTGAGTCTGTTTTGAGGATGTGCAGCACCTGACAGCTCTTAGTAGTAATGCAAGGAACAACAGATCAGACAGAGACACTTTTTAGAAACTAAGAATAAACAAAAAAGCCCTTAATAACATGTTTTTAAAACCTTATAAGAACGATATGATTTTTAAAAATCATATAATGGGAACAATGGTGAAGCAAATCGGTGGATTCAACAGACGAGTTCTATCGAGCTTGGCAAGATATAAATAAGGATGTCCCTGGAGAGCAGCGGCGCTGAAAAACATACACAACTGGAGAGCAGAATCTCACAGGAGCACACCCATAGTTGAATACAGTCCCCCTCCTTTTTCTGACCCCCTTTTTACATGATGAAACACCTCCCCAATTTCTCACCCCAAGTGTTACTGTAAGGCAGGGGTCAGCAGAACCCCTGAAGGCCGCTTTCAGTGTCTGGGCTCAGCCCCCGGACAAATGGAAAGGGTATTTTCTTAAAGAGCCCTTTCCCAAACAGCTTAGGCGCAAACAATGCCGGGTCGGAGAATGAGACCTCCAGACAAACTTCAGCCCCGCCATCTGCAAGCGCCCCCGACACACCTGACGCGTGTTTGTCTTCAGATGCTCCTCCCCCCTCCCTCATCTTTCCCCCCTCACCTGCCACCAAGTTGTCCCGCAACCGAAGCGGGCCCCTGAGAAAGTAAAGGAGGCCGAGCACCGCCACCAGAGCCACTGTGCGAGCCCAGGGCCCGGCCGCCAGCCTCAGCCGCTCCCAACGCCCGGGACAGGCGCCGCTTGCTTCGGAGGAGGAGGAGGAGGAGGAGGAAGGCGCTTCATCCCCATCCACAGGACCGCTCTCCGCCATGACTCCCGCCCTTCGCTTCCCGCGGCCTGGCTGGCTGAGTGGAGGCAGGAGGGCGGGACTAGCCGTGCGCGCCCCCGCCACCATGCCGAATGGGTCCGGGAGGCAGAGAGCGCGTGCCCCCGGCGGCTGAGGGAGGCCGCCGCTCCACTGCCGGCGGGAAGAGGATGGCTCGGCCTGTGGTCCTTCCAGCGCTAACGCCGGAATGGTTGCTTTATTCCTATTACGGCTGCACGTTTCTTCGGGACTCGTGTGTGGACAGGCGCCGGCTGCTGTGACAGTCTCGTTTGCAAAACCCGAGTGTTGGGACGATGTGCTCATGGGGACAGTAGGGGTCGGGATCAATTTCTTCGAACTTTGGGCGCAAAGTTTTATTTGCAGGCGGGACAGGGGATATCTTTTACAGCGGTTAGATTTCTTTCAGATGTTTGGCCGCGGAATTCGGCCAAAAACGGACTGCTGGAGATGCTAAGGCCCCACCCGCTCAACGGTGGCATTCTTAGGGGTGGTGCCGAGCAATGCTCCCTCTAAGGTGTGGAGTCTCGTGAGCAGAAATTCTACTTTGTGAGCTACTGGCATTAAAGTTGTGCGTGAGCAATGTGGCTACTGCATAAATTAGTTTGCTCTGGAGCCATCCTTCCTGAGCTAAGACAAAAATGTGTGAGCCGGAGGCTAAGAAACTGTGAACTGGCTCACACTAACTCAGCTTAGAGGGAACTCTGGTGCCGAGGCTACTATAACAAACTACGGGCAGGGCTAAGGCGTTACATGAACCTAGCTGGAGAGGTCAGCCGTACGTTCCGGCTGCTAGCCCTGCCCTTAGTCACCATGGCACCCTTTAGCTTAAATGGGTGGTATGATCACGGCGGCGGCTGCAGCTTGGCTTTAAAGACTAGGCGTGCCCGTAACTAACATGGTGATCGCCGGCTTCTAGGAGGATTCCGAGAGCGCTAAGGTTCACATCCGGTGGAGGAGTGCTTGTCACACCCCCAGCGATTCCTTACTTCCCAGCGCACTTTGCGCGGTGATGACAGGTGGGGCAGGGCCGGGTTCAGAGAAGCCAAAATGGCGGACTTTGAGGGTCGGGTGTCGGATGAGGAGAAGGTAGGAAGTTATCAAGCTTGTTTCTGGGTACTTTGGGAATGGAAATAAGAGAATAGATATCCTCCTATTGAGGAGGAGGATTCCTTTATTGTCCTTGTTCGTGCTCCAGTAAGGTGAAGGTTTATAAACTTAAAACTTCTTCTGGTTTTTCGGGGAAGAGAGGGGTAGGAATCTCTTATGTTCTCTCTGCTGCTTTCCCCCATTGCTTTCTTTTCATTGCCGCTGATTAAATAGTCTTCATTATCTCTTGGCTGGTGATGGAGTTTGTGTGAGTGACTGCCGCCGAGTTGAATCTGTTCCATTAAATCTTGATTTTAAAGAAGGTAGCGTTTTTCCTATGAAGAGATATGTTTGAGGAACATCTCTTTTTAAGGCTATGTCTGTGCTCCTCGCGCAACTATTTCACATACAGAAAATGCATTGGTGTTATTGATATTGTTCAAATAATAAAACCCACATAGCTAGTAAAGGTAGTCTTGAACCCACAGTACTGGGTTCTTGTAGACCAGTCAGCAGAGAGACTGTGTTATGAATGGACACAGGTGATAGCACTTTTTAAAGAGAGAGGTGAAAGAGGAATGGCTGAGCACTACCTGTATTATTATGTCTTTTTGTGCCTCAGGCCTGGTTTGCGCATGTGAGAGAAAGAGTTGGGAAGAAGGTAGTAAAATGCTGAGTGTGTAGAATGGGCTGTGTCAGACTACAGGTGGAGGATCACATTGTGGATGCTTCACTGTGTTAAAAAACTAACAGTAAATTAAAAAAAACCAGTGTAGCAAGCAAAGGGAGGAAGTAGAAACCTTCTGCTGTGCTAGTTTTCTATTTGCATGTTTGTTTTTTAGTGTGAAGAGGCATTTGAAACTGGTCTCTGTCACTTGAAGCTTATACTGTCAAAGCATTTTCTCAATTGTTTGGAAATGTTTTGCCTATCTGTAGCCTAAGGACCTCTCCGTTCATCTCCTGCCTCTGAGAAGATAGGTTTTTTTCCTTTTCCACTTACCATGTAATTTTGTGACATTTTTGATATTATTTCTCCTCTCATAGGAAGCAGACCACTCCCAGGTGATATCCATACTGAGGGTTTGGTTTTTTCCAAATAGTTGCAATAGTTCCAAATAGATGTACTATGCATGCCAAGGCATAGTAGAATGTATCCTTGTGTTTAAAGTAGAAGGGGGAACCAGTCAGTTCCTTATTAGACTTATTTTCTGTCTGTTAAAGCTTCAGTATTTAAGGAACTGTAGCCATGTGTTTTTCTTAACTGTATTTTGCCCTGTTCTGATCAAAATAACATCATTTGAGTGATTGGCAACATGGTTGACTCTGGACTTGGAAGTACAATGCTTGGTTGGTTTGCAGCATAGCTGTGTAAAGTGTGAATGGGGAAGTCTGAGAACCATGGCAGAAAAATAATAGTTACCTAATCTACATTTAAAGTTTCAGAGGGTACTCTTGAGATAAATATAGGAACTTTATCTAATTTTCTTTTCCAGTTTATTTTCCTCATGCTGCATAAAATTTGCATTAAGCATTACTAAGAAAATGAAATGACAAAGTATTGATCATATCAGAGCCACTTTTAGGTTTTTGTTACGCAGATGTGAACACAACAGTGGAATACTAAAAACATGATGTGCCAATACATTGTGTTTGCTTTTTCTCCAAGTCTGCTGAAAAAGGGTGTGGTAACTAGGTAAGAGGGTTTTTCTCTTTCCTGTTATACATACATGAATAATACCAGTGTGTACATTCATCTCAGATCACCAGGAAGTGGAGAAACTGCAACTCTTCCCAATCAGTTCAATAGCAAGAGTATTTTTATCAGGCCAAAAAAAGGAGCCAAATGGCTTATAGCAAAGAGTTCTCTCTGCAACACGGTGGCCCCGGTCACACGGGCAAAAAAATGTGGGGGGGAATTTTGCCCTGGAGCAAAATAACGCGCGGCTGCACGATCAGACGTCCCGTCGAGGTCCCATGGTTAGGGGGGAGGTGCCGATCACAGGACAATCCTGTGGCGCGGCAAAGAAGCGGCCTCTCTAGCAAAAGGCTCCGAGGGTTAAAACCCCTTCCAGGGCTGCAGAGGACTGCAAACTGTGTCCTCCATCCAGTCCCCTCCAGGAGGAGCTTCAGCCAGGCCGCCCTCCCGCCACGCCCGCCCTGCACCTCCCCCTCTGCCGCCCGGTGCAGAGAGTTCCTCTCGAGCAGGCTGAGCCAGGAGTGGGAGAGGGTACGGAAAAGAGGAGGGGGCTGTGTTGTTCGTTTTTAAACGAAGTGTGTGCATGCGCCATTGGGTGCTTGTGTGCATCCTGTGGAGACTTGGGAAAAAAACCCCTTTTAGCGACGGGACATGGGCGGGCGCCGGATGCCACGACCTACCACTGGAAACGCGATCAGGCGCCCGCCCTTGCCCCGCGGTTTCCGGAAACTAGTACCTCGGAGGTACTAGTTTTTTACCCCGCATCTTCGGCGGAAGCCTCAGGTTCTCCTCGGGAGCTCTACACTTCCCACATGTGGCACTGTGATTGGGCCCGGAAAATCCACCTATCTTCCATCTCTGTAGCGTGGCTAATGCTCCGTGTGACCGCAGCCTATATATATTATAACTGGCTGCAAAGTAGCCAGTAGCCTGATGGCCGCACAGAGGTTGATTGCTGAGTAAGAAGTAATGATGAAGCAGCCCTTAGTCATTAGGTGCGTGTATCATACATTGCATAGATACAAATCTATAGGATTGTTCATAGCATCCAAGTCTGGTAATCGGAGTTTTTAATCTTAGGGCATGATGATAAGCAGGAGTTCCCTAATTCTATTGCCAATTTAGCAGAGTCTGTACTAACACTGTATTGGTAATAAAATGTACAGGACAAAAACACGACTGTAATATGGGACTGAACTGTTAGGAGCACTAGGAATTCGTGCTGGGTTGTTTCTGTAAGTTCTATAGCTAGGGGAGCTGAGACACGTGTGTAATGTAACTTAGATTATTACAGAGAAGTTGTTTGTAGAGTGTGAGTTCTTCTCAATATGCTGAATAAGTTCTTAGCCTGACAATCTCTTTATATAAACATTGAGTTTATTTGGGTTCACATTTATTTTCCCTCATTTCTATGTGTCTCTTTTTGCAAGAAGCTCAGAGCAGTTTGTGAGGGATAGCTTTGCAAGTGTCAAGACCCAGTGCAAATAAGGTAAAGGGGTGATCATACCCTTTGCCCAGACCCACTCTGACCCAGCATGATTTCACCCCAGAGATGAGGGACTGGGACAGCAAGGAAGCTGGACTTTAAGTTCTTGAATACAGAAATAATGGCCCCGGTCACACGGGCAGGAAACTGCAGAGGAGAAGCGTGGCTGTTTGCCCTGGGGCAAACTACTGCGCAGTTACGCGATCAGACCTCCTGTGGAGGTCCTGTGGAGGTACCGTGGAGGTTCCATGGCAAGGGAGAGGTGCCGATCACAGGACAAGCCGGCGCGCAACGAAGAAGTGCGCGCCGCGGCAAACTGTTTTTTATTTTTGTGTACATGACAAATGCGCATGCTCCGTTGGGTGCGCATGCGCATCCACAGAGACTTGGACAAAAAAACCCCACCTTATTTGCAAGGGGACATGGGCGGGCGCCGGATGCCTCCGGAAACGCGATCAGACGCCCGCCCTTGCCCCGCAGTTTCCGGAAACTAGTACCTCCAAGGTACTAGTTTTTTGCCACGCAGTTTCGGCTGGAAGCCTCGGTTGAGCCACGGGAGTGCTACGCTTCCCAGATGTGCTGGTGAGATCGTGCCCGGAAACTCCGGCTGTTTTCCGTCTCACTTGTGTGGCTTCTGTTACGTGTGACCACAGCCCAAGTTTATTAAGCTCGCATCAAGGAAATCCAAAAGCACTTCTTTATATTAAACTCATGAACGTTCATGCACAGGTGCTCATCTATACATACATAGGTCAGCTTTAGATGCAGCTGATACAATTCTGATTGGAGAATCCCGACAGATGGTGGTGAAGATTCTGCCTCTGCCTTGCCCTTTGCTGTTGTATGCTCCTTTGTGTCTCAGGTCCCACGTGGTTTGCTCCCACCTCCTTTCTAGGAGCCTGTTGGGTGGTGCCACAGCTTTTGTGGGACAGCCTGGTGAAAACGTATCCTTTCTCTGTTACCAGAAGGTAATGGTTGGGGACATTGTGGAGCGTCATCCAGGACTGTCTTGGCCACAGGTAGCCAAGATACTACTGTAAAAGAGCTG